TGGACAGCAGTGGACACACGCAAAACACGCGACACAGGCATAAACGCAAATACTCAAACGCGGGCAAAATGGCACACAAACTAAACAACGTGCACAAGCATAGACAAATGGATCGTTTTGTTCTAAAATGAACGAATGCTCGCATGTAAACGCATGCGAGCGAAGAGCATAAAAAACAGCTCGAGACCTGGTAGAAAAAAGTGAATCCGCAAGGCAGACTAGACAAACCAGAGGGCGATCGAGTTCAGAAAAAAATTCGACAGCAAAAAGGCCAGTTCAATGTCCAAGAGAGAAGTGACCGGTTGGGGACGTGCTCATGCTTGTTCTCGAATTCGGCCTTCCTCCAAATATTTATCAATCTGCCTACATGCATCTCTCTCTTATGCGTCCTCAAAAGATGGTCAGGAATTCAATAGCGAATGCTCAAGTTTAAGGAGAGCAAACAGCAAGGCAAGTGGACGGACAGAAGGGCGTACAACAGACACCCAAGGGACAGTGAGAGAGATAAATAGACTGAGCAGATGAGCAAAGCAGGCTAGGTGCACGCCAAGCGTCCGCGTGAGTGCACCGGGAATAAGAGTGGGTGTGTTTGCGGAGCCATAAAATCGATTCAACGGAACACTAAGACCACAAACCACATGCTGTACCAACGATAGCAGAGGCAAAACATCAAGTATCCGTATTTACTGCGCTAACTGTCCTAAAGAAATGTTGATCCCTCCTTGAGAACACTAACGCAGTGATGCACATTGATGCATACACAAACAAGCCGAAGCGTACAACTGCATATAATTGCTTGTGCTACATCGTTTAAACTAAGTCCTGGAATTCGAAAAGTTCTTTCTTCCGAAACAGAGTCCAATGATGCGGATTATAGGACCAAAGAAGTGCATACGGTAAGCTAAAAGGGCTTGCAGATAATGACGTCGGAGCTTGATTACAACTGTTAAACTAATATCAGTTTGTTACCTAAGTAATGGTCGTAAGCAAATTAGGTAATGAAACCAAGGACAACAAATCCAGGTCATTTCGGAAAGATATAATAATGATTTCTTATAATAAGGCAATTATAATTCAAACTTACACAACTTAAGACTTATTAGACTAAAAAAGTGTTTAACCATTATAAAAGCCAATATGCAACTTCGTCGTGGAATCGTAGCTCTAACCTTCATCGGGGTAGAATAAAAATATTAGGCATTCAAAAGAAAAAGAAAGGAAGAAAGAGAAGCAAAAATGAAGCAATTTACGAGCCAATGCTATCCCAACACAATTCTTCAATAAAATTACGAGAGCAGTCCTGTGCAAGATAAGTGGAAAAGGTGATTGCTACTTGGTGCGGGAAATCCTTCATGCAGCTTGTATTCAACCGCACTGCAAGCTGATTAAACTTGGAAACTAGCAATCTCTGGAATCGTATCAAGGCTAATACTTGCGAAAGCAAAAAATGGCCAAATAATGTTTATAGTGGCGGCCTTCTTAGAATCCCCGTTTTATTAGACCTCAGAATATTTTCAAATCACGAGATAATAAACGATATCCCGACGCCAAGGTATGACACATTTGGACTGGAATTTCAAACGCTATGAAACATTAGCTACTCAAGGATAAATAACTACAGCCTAACCCCTAGTACTTTAAATCTTCATCAAAATTTGCAATATTATATATTTAATTATTGATTCACACTATCAGTATCAAATAAATTCAGAGCGCGTTAGTTTAGATCACAGACGTAAATGGAAAACATAAGGCCATCTACGCTATGTCTTCTCTAGATTAAATGGAGAACATATGCACTATGAGCGCAAAGATGGAGAAAATGCTACTTAAGCCGGGGATTTGTTAGGAAGACGTGTCAGCACAAGCAGACGATGTAGTTGATGGCCAAATGAATTCTCCCAGAATCTCCTAGCCTATATCAGATAAATGCAAGAAAGCTCATATTTGAATAAATATGTGCTAGTGTGCTTATGAAAAAAATGAGTTAGAAAAGCAAGGAGCTAATTTTAAAAGGGTACAGAGGGTCCGGCTAAAGAGATCAAATGTACATGGTAGGCATTCTCTGCAAGAGCAATAGCAGCAAAATGAGGGTATATAATGCTTAGAAAAGATGGGGTACTAACTTGTCCAAAAAAATCCGTTCAGACCTTTAGCGAACAAGAGAGCAACGAGAAATAATTAAGTGAAGTGCACGCCCTATTTCATTTAGAGGAATTAGAGACTGGTAGTTGAATTTTCCCACCACTCATATCATTTTGAGGAAATTCGATTAAAAGTCCTTTATCACCTTAACCGAAATAGGATGAACACATCTCATATATCTAACTTACTGGTGGCCTCGAAAACATACTGAATAACGAAAATAAGTGGCGTTCAAAATCGGTGCCTGGTCTTCAGGTATGCAAGGTGACCCAAAAAACAGAGATGTTACAGCATTTCTCGCAATTCATACAAGCAAATGTAGCCAAAGGCAGCTGCCACACAGGTGAGAAGGGCCATGGCGTCAGAGTTGATGCACATAGTCCCAGAGGAGATTAGGGGGCACACAAGCCTGAAAAAATCAGTTCTGTACAGACAATTCGGTAGAGACCTTTTGTTGAAGCAGATGCATGGCTAAACAGCTTGGACGACAATGAAGATGGATTTTTAAAAAGACTCAAGGGCAATTTATTGTGGGCCAAGGTGCTGTATTATGACAGAGCTCACTATAAAAACTGAGAGAGAAGGCTTGTGAGGGATAAACTTCATAGTGGTGGAAACATCCATTCAAACGGCATTGCGACAACCATGGAGGCGAACAGAGATTCAGGGTTCGTTATGTAATCCCAGGGCGGACACAGTCCTGACAAAACGCACGAACCATGCCACTAAATTAATGCAGAGATCAGCACACATGTGCATGTACAAGCAAATCAGACACTAACATGAACAAGCGCACGTTCACGTGGGTACGCGCACACCTCTCGGCAAACAGAAAGTTAAGGCTAATCAACTCATAGGCGAAAGGGAGGCACATAAAATCGAGTCACAACTCTGAGCTGGTCATCTCGTGATCGGCACAGTGGACCCGTTCAAGGAAAAGTGACTCTTCTTTACCATCACCTCTTTCTCTTCTTCTCTATAACACACACAAGCACACACACAAACATGCAAATAAACAATTACACACACGCATTTATGCCCCAGAAAGAGCACGCAGACTCAGGCCAATGCATCTGAGCCGATCTCCGAAGGTGGCGAGCAGGTGGCGGGCTTGTCCATGTGTGAGGGGAGGAGGCGAAGCATATGCTCAAGCCAAGGCCGGCCCATGTGCATCACAGCCGCCAATCGGGCCGACTAGAACGGCCGGTACAACCGGCAGAGGGGTATGATCGGGCACTGACGAAGGTGGAGGGAGGAGGTGACGAGATGAGAGAGATGAGAGGCTATGAGGAAGTCAGGTCGATGAAAGGAAAGGGGGCAGATTCTACGAGTAGGTGGGCACAGAGTACAGACAAAAGGCTAAATAGGCCCAAAATCGTCTCACACCAAACTCCTTCCATCACAGAGCAGCCCGCGCTAAGGGACAAATGTCTGGTGCGCCTGGACAGTTGCCCGTCAGAGTAACTTCGGCTAATAGGGGTTAGACAGAAAAAGCGCCAGAAGTCTACGATCAGGACAGGATGAAAAAGAAAAGGGGGAGAGGAGGAGCTTTGTAGAACGAGCCAACGGTATGAGCACGTGAATTTTCACATGAGTATTCGTCTGTTGGCTTAAGCAATCATGGGCTTGTGGCAGGTCTACAGCAAAGGAAGAGTGATAATGACAAGCCATCGGTAATCAGAATCCTTCGTTTGATCAGATTGCCTAAAATAGAAGGACAAAGTACGTGCAGGTGGGCTGGGCGCTATTGCAGAGATGCACTCAATTTGTGCACGTGTACACAAGTATGACTGCGTGCGAACCCATAGGGTATAAGTAGGCGATACTGAACATATACCTTTCGTCTCAGCAAGGATCAAAACTTAAAGTAGATTCAAAGGAAAACGTAATCTGGAATTAAACATAACGTATACTCCCGTGGCTAAATAGATGACGACAAAGAAAGTATCCAGTGTTGGCATACTTGTACTTCGCTTAAAAATGCGGGTAAGAGAGATTAGTAAATTGACCCCACCATAAACCGGAGGATTGCTTTGGAGTTGTAACGATAAGATGTAAAAAAGACCTCGGATCACCCTCCTGTGACCCAGATGAATCGACGCTGGGCTTTTCTCTTTGATGGGAGAGTTCGCAATCAGCACTTACAAAAAACTGACCGAAACACTGAACAAATGGGTCGGAAACCTTTCTTCGTTTAGTGTCATGATGAATCTTTTGGCAAATGATGATTCCAGATTGACAGTGTCTGTCACATGGTAGACAAGAGCTCATCAGGGATTCATCAAGGTCGGAAGACAGGCACAATCCAATTCCGGATATCGATGAGGCAAAGTTACAAGGAACTCCCAATCGCCTTGTCAAACGAAATGAAAACAACGCCAAAAATTTTTCAAAACCCAGCTTCTTTACATATCTAAAAAAACGTCAGAAACCCATAAGATAAGCACTTGAAAAATCGCCTCCCAGTGAATGCGCAAAAATGCAGGTTAATGCATCGGGAATGAGCCCAAGTCCAAAATTCAAAGAATACTAACGGAATGCAACATACTAGGGAAGTTTTGTAGAATTGTGATTTTAACTTTGCATTGTGGCAGAAAGATGAGCACCTGCTCGTAAGCCTTAATCAGAATGGCCCAGTTACCGTATATAGGCACCGATCCAGTAGGTAAAATAAATAGTATCTGTCTCGAATTCACTAATCAAAAGATGGAGATTGAAGAAAAAGTAATGCGAAGTCAATCTGTCACGAACAAGATAGCTTATTGATGTTTTAACCAATGGAGAACAGGCTTAAATAGCCAAATATTTGTCGATGTACTCAAAAGATGAATCCGCAAAATAAACTAAGCATTCAAGCACCTCCTTTATATTATGCTTCAAAGCAGACGCTTGAAAATCAACATATATGCATCAGAGTGGAAAATCAGAATTCTACGGACAAAAACAATCGAGATAAAAAATTATCTTAAATACCTGAAGGGTGAAAAATAAGCAACACGAAATAATAAAA